CGACACCAAAACTGAACGTCTTGAAAGGTCTCTCCAGTGATGAAAGATTATCAACATTTCAAAGTTTGAAACACAAGAAATCAACGTGTAAAACACATTGAACCATGGTGAAATACACTTAAAATAAATGTGATTGTGCATATGAAATATCAAGTGTTCAAACAGTTCGATCAGACGTGTGTAGTTTTTTGAGTGTGAAAGGTCTCTCCAGTGATGAATCCCTGGATCAGATCAAAGATGAATTGACAAAATTATTTGGAGTTGAGCCTGCCCAAGTAATCAAAATGAAAATGAAATCCCGTCCTGGCGACGCAAAAATCATGCAACGGGATTTCTAATGATTTTTATTTAGATCACTTCATGTTTAGTGAACTAATAAACTTTAAGGCCTTAGAAAAAGCTAGCGTTATGCTCCATGTCTGAGTGAAGTGGGAACACTTTAGGAAGACTGGAGGAAATTTCCAAAACCTCAACGAGTACCGTAAGTGCCAAGGACGGGGTCACGGGACCAAACATTGCTACATGCCAGCTAAATGCATGAATTGTGGTGATTCCTTTCACATAGAACGACTGTCCTAAGATCCCAAGTAATTCAAATGTTCAAATTGTGGAGAAAACCATAAATCCAATTTTTGGAAATGTAAGCAAAGCGATCCTACAATCTCGTTCTAAGCGACAGGAAGGAAATACTCCACGTTCCCGAACAGGTAAAAATTCCTCTGCTGTTAACAACGGTCAGCGAGGAACAAATCTACATTCGTACATATAGGTACAAATATCACCCCTGCTTCAAATTCTTCATCTATACCTGCTCCCCTCGCTGCTAACAATGTTCAGCGAGTAAATGGAGATACTTATGCTGCTATTGCAGTCGGTAGAAATCAAAACTGTAGCCTAAGATAAGACTAATTTCACTCACATAAAAATATAATAATAATAATAATAATAAAAATCAAATGACATCATTTACCTAAAACTAAAATTTTTGCCCTCCTAAATAATGTTTAAGGTCAAACGGATAATTCGTTCCAATGCGGGAAAGCGGAGTATATAATGAAATTAGAAATAGTTTCAAAAATCTAAGACATGAATACAATTTGGAGCCAAGGAAAAATAGAAACCTCTAACTGATTTTTAAGACTTGGACGAGTGTTTGAAACATAGAAAACAAAAAAATCCAGTACTTGGAAAAAAATGGCACGATCCTGGTCTTTGAATTTTTTGCTGTAAAGTTCTCAATTATAAATCAAAAAAATAAAATATTAAAAAAAATAACTAGAGGAAATGGATGTAATGTCGGCCTAAATGCCCCTAACGCGTTCATCTAGATAAAATTGATAAAAAGCAGATTTTAAGCGTTGGGCCCAATCTTCTAATGTCAAAATTAGTGCCAATTCCCCTATATGAACAAAATTAATGATCCCATATAAATTATTTTTATATAATGCATTTTTGCTTTATTTTAATTATTTTTCTTAAAGTTCACGAGATCTCAAACCAATACAAAAAATCAAGATGCTGGATTTAGACACATTGCATCAGATCTCACACAAATGCAAAATTTCGGGCTAGGAAATTTTTTCAAGAATTTTGAGATCTCAAACTGAAAATTAATCAATATCCTAAGGCAGATAAAACGGTAATAATATGTATGATCAGAGACATGAAAAAATTGAATGTTTATAAACTATGAATTCTCTATGAAATCAGTGGTGTACTAATATTACGCACCATTTTTAGAACTTGATAATAATAGCAGTCAGACTTGGAAAAAAAATTGTTTTAGTGCCTTAAAATATTGAAGATTCCAGATTTAAAAAAAAACAATCCAGTAGCCTTCGATGCTTGAAATTTTGCGACAGTTCAAACTAATGAAAAACGAAAGCTCAAATTATCCTAAGATCAATATGCTAAGTGAACTCCCTTGGTAAAGTGCTTTCGGTGACGAACCAGCTCTAGGCTGAAAGTCTCCATGTGATGATGATGATGATGATGATGATGATGGTCCCACCTCTTACCCCTACAAAGGTTTGAGCTGGACGATTTTTCTTTAAGATAATTAACTATGACATTTAACCAGGTTGGCAAACAAAATCGAACTGGTTTCAGTTACAGATATAAATTCCCTCTAGAGCTTACAGTTGCTTCACAGCGATATAAATGTGGAAAAGCTCAGGCGTCCACCTCTTAGTTCGTCTTTTTGTTCACCTAAAATATTCATAAGTATTACAAGCAATCAAGAGTTAATGAACAATAAACAAAGCATCCTATTACACTAGTAACCCCGCAATATGATGATATCATAATTTTCAGCAATGTCAGGAATGCTCACGAACCCCCAGCATTTGCCAGAAAACTTACTACTAACTCAAGATATCTTCCAAATAAGCAACAAAATTGCATTTTTTTTTATCAAATGTGAAATTCAGTCCTCTATATCCGTAATATTTTTTTTTAATTAATCTACTATAAAATCAAATATTAAAATTCCATCATCACCATCGTGGCGAACAAAAATAGTTTTTGCAGTGCTACAATAATTATTAAAAATTCGTTTTGACAGCTATCCATATAAAATAATCGATTAGCAATAACTTCGTCAAGATACATAATTTGTCAATTCGTAAAAAATCACTGGATAACTGTTCAAACGACAGATTTAACGTGTGAAATGCCGTATCTTTTAAATTCTGTAAGTGTTGTTGAACGTTGGATATGTCTAGGCATCGAATTGAAAACATTTATTCCATTATAATATAATGAATTTTGGGAAGCACAAGTCAAGAAATGTGGTGTTCTTATTTCAACCGCGTTTCTAGTATTATATCTATATTGAATTCGATCACACAAATATCGAGGCAGCAAACCGTTAACTACTTTAAAAATGAACACCATAGTCAAATATACAATTCTTTGCTTCACCGACAACCATTGTAAGGTGTCTAAGGTGCATCAAAGTTGAGGAAGTGAATCTATTACATCTCAAAATCAAACGCATTATTTTATTCTGCAAGCGCTGTAATCTCGATATTTGTGTTGCATTGGCCAGAAATAAAATGGAAGGGCAAAAGTCAAGATGAGGAGAGATGATTGATTTGTATAGCTATATTTTACTGGCAATAGTTAAATCGTTTTTCAGTCGACATAGAATTCCATACTTCTTGGCAATTTTCTTGATGACATTGTCAATGTGGGGGCGACCCCGGCGTAGTGGTAAGCATCCATACCTCTCACGTCAAAGTCACGAGTTCAAATCTCACCCCCGGACAAGTCACAAATGACCCAAGAGCGTTAAAGTGACTATAAAAAAAAAAAAAAATGTCAATGTGAGAGTTGAACTTAAGTGTGTCATCAATCATCACGCCAAGATATTTAATCTCCCGAACGCCGCGATCAAAAGTCTCATCATCAATTACAACAGAGATGTTCTCATTTACTCGATTCCGCAAAATTACATAATAAAGAAACAACAACAAAAACAAAATTTATAAAATTTCCTATAAGAACACATTTTGCGGTCTTTTCATTCAAACCAAGTTTTCATTCAAAATAACAAGGTCAAGTTATTGCCTTCTGTGCCGCTTTCAACCGCCAGATCCAACGGCACTTCTTTTCGTCTCACCAACCAGTAGGAAGTATACTGCCTATATGCACGTGAACAGAAAGTCTCTCTCCTGGGTACTTTAATCCTCGTTAGTACAAAATCAATGCCTACCGCCGTTCAGTCCTGCGTTACTCTTTCTTTCAGGTACCTGACGGCAACTTCCAAATGATTTCATGCCAGTATTAAAAGATAAATTCAAATCATCTCCTACTGAACAACATCGTGCATGGTCCTTAGATGTAAACAGAGGCTCAATCTTTATTCCAGCAAGGAGGTAGCTTATAATTCTTATGTTAACGGTTATTCTACCGGCTGGTATTAATGCGTCGGGAAAGCATACGTAATTTTCAGGTATACAATATTTGCTATAAAGTGAAAAATTAGAATACTAATACACACAACATAACAATCATAGGTGTGAAGTAACGGCATCTGGTCAACATTTCAGTTTGTTCAAATCAATCGTTTGAGTGCGTTTTGTGATTTTAAATGTGTGCTCTAATTAAGATTATATTTAAGAACAAAAATCAGTGAAATGAACAATGTGACTAGTTTCTACAGTCGTGATACACGAAATTATAGGTGATGGATAAACTACCTAATCGTTCCATGTAAAACCGCATGAAAATCAAACAGAAAACATTTCGAAATCGTACTTTTCTTACTAAAAATATGGACAGCATATCACACCATGTTGTCGCCGACGGACTGCAATCCAACACCAACAACCGGTTGAAACGCAATTACTGTAGTCGATAAATTACGTGATACCGCAGCTCAAACGAAATCGAAGTTGGAAGCACCCGCATGCTGACAGCCGCAGTGCTTCTCTATACAGCAAACGTTCACTTTCTGACCTAGAAAATCACTTTCAAGATGCCATGTCAGTTGACCGTCCGGTCGGGCAACTTTTCCTGCGGCGGCATCCGTCACGTTCTTCGACAGGTTGCGTGTTTTTTTTTTTTTTTTAGTTGTTTGGCATCGTTAACCAGCGGCATTTTTTTCACCAGAGCATAACTCATGCAGTGTGGAGCACTATGTGTATTGATGTTAAATCAATAGAATACACTTTTACGTCAAACCTTGAAACTGAATCCGATTTTGAAATTTTCCCTAAGGGTTTAATTCGAAAAATAATATGCATCAGTGAAACTCAAAGTCATTCCAAGCCGAAAGCGTTTGTCCAAAATCGAACCGGAAATAGTGCACATTTCATTTCCATTCACTTGGAAATAGTCTCCAAAAAGATTTCCCGTCGATTGAACACCACCAATAAAGCCGGCTCGAAAGAACCAGGCTGCGCATGAATTTCAATCATAGCGAATGCTCTCGCATCGAAAAGCAAACTTCCGCTGTTTCTAACGTGATTCTTTTTTATCCTTCGTTCTATTTGCAGATTGCCTGCTGAAAATGCAGTGAGTCCTCATCGTACCGGAACAATGAAAAAGAGAGCTAAATTAACAATGTCCTCACTGGCGCTTACTCTGCTGTGTTGCTGTACCTGTATGTTGGCACTGGCGAATGGTCTGCCAATAACATCGAAACCCCTGGATAACAGTCCGGACCATTTGACGTGGGATGTTGGTATAGGAGGCAAAGCAAAGAAAAAATCCGACCGATCGATCTTCATCGCACCGCAAATAACTGGATTCAACAACTCGTTGTGTCCTCCCAACAGCAAGCTGGACTATGATGGGAAGTGCATTCAGATAGTTCACATCAATCCAGCAGATATTTTGGTAACCAAACTGCAAAGCATCCTAGGAAGTAATGCTTCTCCCAATACTGACATGGACACGGATTACGACTACTATGATTCGGCAGGTCCATTCCAGGTTAATCTGCCACTAAGCATTGATTTGCCTGTTGAACAGTTCAATCAGCAACTTATTCCAGAAGAATCCTTCTACGATAGCACAGTGGTAGACATATCTTCGAACACTCGTGCGGACAGTTTGAAACAGGCTTCTACCGTAAAAGACGAACAACAGTCGACATTTCTCACCGAATCCAGCAGACAGCCTATGGACCAAACAGCAGCCGAGAGTCATACCGATATTTCGTTTCTTTCCTTCGAAAGTTTACCAAATGGATCGCTTTCGACAAGGCTCGAGCTGGATAGCAACAAAGGCACCGTTGTTCAAAAGATTGTACTCTCTTCTACACCTGCTACTCCTACTACCACAACAGTCGATACTATTGATGCAGAATCTGTTGAACTATCTCGCACAAGCACTGTGGCAAGTGATGTTGCTGATGCTACCACTACGGGTAGCAGTACTGCTGTAGAAGAACTGAGCACTTCAACTGTGGACGGCTCCTCAGCTCCTTCAACAACCACCTCCATAAGCACAACCGAAGAGTATCTAGCAAGCGAAAGCTCTGTCGCTACAACTACTCAAATGAAAATCAATGAAACATCAGATGAAGACATAGATAATTTGAAAGCAGAGCTAGCCGATGAATCTTTCATTTTGGAGCCTACCGGTTCGACAACTACCGATTTTCCATCGACTGATATGTCTGACTTTGAGGTAGATGTTGCGATGCTAAGTGCTGGATCCACAATTCCTGCGGACAGAACAACGACAGTTGGGATTTCAGAAGCCCCAACATCAGCCGAGACTACAACTGCAAGGATGTCTATCCACACAATACCACCCACTTACACAAGAAAAACATGGTCATCTCCCAAGCCTGTCCAAATTGTGACCCCGTTGAAGACCAAGTGGTATAGTCCACCAGGAGCAACTCCACCTCCATTCATCGTTGCCAGCTATACTCAACAGGAACGCACAACCAGAGCATCGCCGGAAACTACAACCGTTCCTCAACGTCGCAATACCGAGGCTCCCCTTCTGGTCATAAACGACACCGAAGATGATAAGAAAAACCGTGACAACATCCATCGTCAGGAAATGAAAGATACGCTCCGTGAATCCATGGACACCAACAACCGCTTCGTCTATCATCACTTACCAGCTTCTCACGTGGCTGTATCAACTCCTCCTTCTGCCACAACCGCCCAGAGCCACAACTACGTGGATCAACTGAAGATAATCAACGAAATAGTCGCCGAAAATAAGCAACGACACGAGCAGACAGCAAGCAGTAATTCGCGGATTCGTTTCCCAACTCGAGACGACGATCAGCTGCCAGCTGCCTCCAGCAGTGGTGGCATGATTCGTTTCCCAGGATCAGTTTCGAATCGTGTCACTCAGCATGCCAATCGGATCCCCGATATTTTCCCAAAGAAAACACCAGACAGTACAACTCAGCGACCACCCTTCTGGTGGCTTCCCTCTGGCTGGGAGGTAGACCAGACCGGTCAAAAGCCGATGTTGTTACGGTTTTGGTCACGGATGCCTCTCGTTCGAGATCAGTCCTTGACTACTACAAGCACCAACAGTAACTCCAATCGATGGCGACCCTCACCATCCGCATCCGGCAGCACATCTCCTTCGTCGGTATCGCCCAGGGGTAACTCCAGAAGTCCCAGCGAAAACTTCTACAAAGAAGTTTCCTCACAGGACGTCTACAAGGTGCTCAATGCTCGTCAGCTAAAGCACAAAAGATAAAGTCACCAGCAGTAGTCTCGGTCTCTCTCAGCTTTAAGTATTATTTAATTGAAACAAAATTGTGTATAGACGAAACAAAACTAGAGGTACAACGATTAATGAATCAAGCAACCCCACCATACCCCCTAAGAAAACACGCACACATACAGGCACACCAAGGAAATGTGAGGAGTACTAGATTTGCTATTTCAAAAAAAAAGTATTTTATGTTCATTTCATGACAAATTGCGTTGCAACTGTGATATTTTTACCCCCTTTTTGTAATCTTTCGGAAGGAGTATTTTTAGCTCTTAAAAATAGCTTCTTTTAGCAAACAAAAAATCAGAAACGCCATTCACGCACTACTATTCGTTGATTTTGTTTTATCAAGTAACTGATAAAATTTTAAAATCGCATGCTTCCCTTGGTGAATCCTCACATTTCAGCATCGCAAATCCATTCAGTTAGGAGGCACAGTTTAGTCCTGTTTATTGTAATTATAACGTTTCCCTATATTGTACATATCCACTGTCTATTTCTTCCATTTTTAATGTGTTGTAAAGTCTCGCCAATTAAAATTTTAATAAACAAAAACCTGTTATCAAAAATGTCTAAAATAATTATATAACACAACATCTGCTACCCATTGGTGTCTATTTGAAACAAATCAAAAGTTATTTTAACGTGAAGGAAAAATACATATATGTATGTGCCAAAAAAAAGAGTATGGAATCGATGTTTTTACGAAGCGCAAGTAGAAATCCTCACCGTTATTTATAAGATTGCGTGTTTTGCATGTTTTTATCATATAAAAATAGTGCAAAAGCTATCCAAAAACAACTTTTCATAATACCTTCTACTTGACGAACGAAAAGAACGCTACCTGTAAAAATATACTTAAGGAATGCGAATCTCACGCGAAAGGATTCAACGAGCATTAGTATTCACAAGGAATATCAATGTTTTAAGTGTGTGTTTGTGTGTATGTATATTGTAAATCAGCGAAAGAAATCAAATATTTAATTCAACTTGGATAGTTATTAGAAAGTAGTCCCCGCTGAAGCACAAATGTTCACCGAACACCGCCAAGAAGAAAAGCCGCAGAAGAAGCAACTAGCAGCACTTGTTCATGGTGGTGCCGAAGTGGACTCAAACACACAAAATGATTGCAATATTGCCAAAAGTTTTACTCTGTATTATAAAATAATTAACCGAAAACTGATATGTACACTCATGTGACTAAGCAAGTAGACAAAACTACTCCCCGCAGCATGTGCGCTTTGATACAATTCTGGCCACGCATTGGAACGAATGTCGAACAAAGATTGAGTACAGAAAATAAACTAACGATCGGTAGCTGCCAGTTTCTACGTTGATCGGAAAACTATTTGATGAATAAAATTATATGTCTTGTTTGTGTATTAGTAATAAATGATGACTTCCCAGCTAAAGTTGAAAGATCTATCCGAATTCCTTTTTGGCTTGGAAAAGTCCCAACTTCTCTTCTACAAAAAAAGATATACCCAATTCTAGTAAAAAAATGAATAAATGCAAATTGCTGAATTTATGTATGGGCCTAATTAGGGGCACTTAGGCCGACATTACAACAATTTCTCTTACCTCTATTTATTTTTTAATTATTGAGACTAATATACACCCTTTCAAGTACCGTAAAAAATTTTTTTTTTGTTTGCCCCAACCAAAGATATTAACATTTGAAAAGGGTAAATTTTTAGTAGGAAAACGTCAATAACTCTTGATCGGCGAAGGATATCAACAAGCTCTGTGTAGCAAAAATTTGCGCCTTTTAAAGATCTAAAAGTTATTTGAAGACATCTTTGCTGATAAATTTGAATTTGTTTGTTTAGAGACACCCTAACTCAATTAAAGAAAATAGCTCTAAATCGGTCTGTTACTGATTTTTTGTACGATCCGTTTTTCTCATGAGCCAAACATGGATGGCTGAACGCAAGGAAGTAATGAAGCAGAGAAACAGAGTCAAGAAAACCGAGTCGCCACCGGGAGGACGATTTCCGCTTTTCATTATTTTAATGTTATTATTATTATTATTATAGATAAATAAACGAATCGAAGAGCACGTTTTTTCGCTAGTCATTAATTTTGAAAGTTGAGTTTTAGAAGATTTTATTCCGTAGCTTTTTTTCAATCACTGTTTTCGTTCACTCTCGCGTGTTGTCCCGTCATTTAACATTTGGTCCTGTGAGCCGGAGGTAAAGAATTCGCGATAATGGAAGTGCAGTTGAAAAGGCGAATTGTTTCTATCGAGCGGCTAAAACGGGAACATGCTAGTGCGAAGCAAGTGACTGAACAGGAAACACCAATCTTCGAGGTGAATGATCGGTTGCAGAAACTGGTCGAGATGCAGGAGAATTTCGATATAATCCAATGCGAAATCGAGGACGCAGCAACGGAGGAGGAATTGCCGTCGGTGCTCAACGTGCGAGTGGATTACGAAAAACTATATAACGCAACCAAACGGTTGTACACCAGCTGGTTGCAAGAAACGCGGCAGGAGGAGAGATCGAATTTCGGCAGCAGTGACGCGACGTTCATTGAACCGGAAAGTGACCTCAAGGAAGCCGTTCGTTTGCTGTTGGATACACAAAGGACGTTGTTGACCAGACAAGCTGCAGCTTCAACTACCATGGAGGAGTTAGCTGGCCAGTTTCATGGAATGCACGCAGCACCCATCGACATGCAGCTACCATCGTTCAGTCTTCCAACATTCAAGGGCGATAGGAAGCAGTGGGCATCGTTCAAGGACATCTTCACCAGCAGTGTGGACATGAAGAACCTTACGAATGCGCTTAAGGTTCAGTTGCTTATGTCTCACTTGGAAGGAGAAGCGAAAAGCCTGGTGAGTAGCTATGCAATCACAGATTTTAACTACAAACAGGTGTGGGACACTCTGGTCGAACACTATGACAAGCCGCAGTTTGCTGTTTCGGCGCTTGTCCATGAGTTTTGTGACCAGCCAGTGATAAAAGCAATGAACCTCACGAACTTGCGGAAGCTCGTATCGACATCCGACGAGGTGATACGCCAGCTGAAGGCCATGGGCAATGCGTACGAGACCAGGGATCCATGGCTCATTCATCTAGTCTTGAAGAAGCTGGATGACAATTTGCGTTCTCAGTGGGCAACACACATCGTTGACATCGACAATCCCACATTCGATGAACTACTGAAATTCCTCAAGCGGAAGTGTGATGCATTCGAAACTTGTGCTGCGTTCGGCGGTAAACACTTGGATCATGTCAAGAAGGAAATGTACAAGGAAGAAAAGAAGCCGATCAAGAAGGAAATCAACAGTTTCTATGTCGTAGAGCAGCATTCATGTCCGATGTGTTCGGAAGACCTCCCTTAGCTCAGTCAGTAAAGGCGCAGCTACAAAGCAACACCATGCTGGAGGTGGCTGGGTTCGATTCCCGGTCCGGTCTAGGAATTTTTCGGGTTGGAAAATTTCTCGACTTCCCTGGGCATAGAGAATGATTGTACTTGCCACAGAATTATACTAATGCAAAAATGGTACAGGCATCGAAAGCTCTCAATTTAATAACTGTGGAAGTGCATCTAGAAAACTAAGTTGAGAGCACGCAATAAGCTAAAATGCGAAGAAGAAGAAGAAGAAGAAGTGTTCGGAAAACCATGAAATCTATAAGTGTTTAACATTCAAGGAGGCTTCGGTGAAGACAAGGCGTGAATTTGTACAGCAAGCAAGACTCTGCTTCAATTGTTTGCGTTCGAACTACTGTGCAACATCATGCCCGTCAAAGTCTGTGTGCCGTACGCCAGATTGTAACCAAAAGCATCACACCTTATTGTGTCAATCGACGAAATCTGAGTTTTCCTGCAACACTGTCGAAGCGCAAATACCAACAGTGAACACAGAAGAAGAAAAAGAAGAAAACGAAGACAATAAGCAAGTGGTATCCTGTTATGTAAACGTCAAAACAGTTGCTTCGATCGTCATCGGTACGCTGCCGACTGCTGTTGTACGTGTGAAGGGAAAAAACAACCAGTTTCAAGAAGTGCGAGTCATGATCGACAGTGGTTCTCAAGCATCGCTGATTACGGAGCATTGTATCACTATTCTTGGATTGGTTGCGAAGGTGGTTATTTCCGGTATCGTAAACAGTGCCTCAGAGACCACCAGAGGGGTGGTGAATTTGGAAATCTCGTCGCGGTTCGACTACAAGCCAGTCATCCAAACGAAAGCTTACGTGCTGAGTAAGCTGTCAACGAACATACCAAGCCAGAAGATTGATGCAAGCCGTCTGAAGTGTCTGGATTTGGTACCATTGGCGGATCCGGATTTCCGGTTTAGCGACTTTGCAGTCAATTTAATTGTTTATAGGAAAGTTTGAACATACTGAGAGGTAAGCACATATCATCGGTAAGAGACATGTGTGTGAGAAAATTTGCGAAAAAATCTAAGGGCTCCGGTGGGATTCGAACCCACAATTCCCATTCAGTACACGGGTGCATTGCCAATTATACAACGGTGGACCTATGGTCTACGGATGTATTTGGCTAATGACATTTGAGGTGCCCTTAGATTTTTTCGCAAATTTTCTCACACACATGTCTCTTACCGATGATATGTGCTTACCTCTCAGTATGTTCAAACTTTCCTATAAACAATTAAATTGACTGCAAAGTCGCTAAACCGTAAATCAAAAAGTAAAAGTAATTGATATTCATCAACTACGGCCCGGTGGTCGGAGGTGAGGCCGGCAGCTCAAAATGTTAGAGTCATACTGTACTGGACATATTTCAGCATGTAAGATGAACAACAAAAAAATGAGCTGTGTTTGTTCACATCGACTGATACTGAGTGGTTGCGGTACAAGCACATATCGTCGATAATAGACGATTGTTGTGTATCAGAGAACGCTTGCGCAAAAAGACTAGGGTGGGGAACGGATTCGAAACTCAAATGTCATTAGCCAAATACATCCGTAGACCATAGGTCCACCGTTGTATAATTGGCAATGCACCCGTGTACTGAATGGGAATTGTGGGTTCGAATCCCACCGGTGCCCTTAGATGTTTTCGCAAATTTTCTCACACACATGTCTCTTACCGATGTTATGTGCTTACCTCTCAGTATGTTTAAACTTTCCTATAAACGATCCGGATTTCGACAAACCAAACAAAGTTGACCTGATTCTAGGAGTTGATGTGTTTCTGTCGATTGTTGAAGATGGTAAGATGAAGGATGATATGGGAACCCCAGTAGCATTGAATTCCGCATTTGGTTGGATTATTGCTGGCCAGCTCGGTGCTGCAGCCAATATCATGTGTCATTCCACAATCGTCAGTTTGTGTACCGAAATAAACATCGATGAAACACTTCGACAGTTCTGGGAAGTCGAAGAGATAAACAAACCTAAGCCGCTATCACTGGATGAACAAAATGCGGTGAATATGTATCAAGCTACTTACAAACGTGAAGAATCTGGTTGATTCGCGGTGAGCCTTCCTTTCAAAGAAACAGAAGCACCGTTGGGGGAGTCACTGCCAGCAACCATCCATCGACTAAAGGCAATGCAGCGAAAATTTGCAAGCGATCCTGTGTTGAAGAAGATGTACGTTGAATTCATGGCCGACTACTTGGAGCTTGGCCACATGGAACAGATTCCGGATAAAGAGATCGACATACCTTCGGATCGAAGATTTTACGTTCCACACCATGCAGTTCTACGCAACAATAGCTTGACCACGAAGCTGCGAGTCATTTTTGACGGCTCCTGCAAAACGACAACAGGGGTGTCTTTAAACGACCGATTGCTGGTTGGACCGAAAGCTACCGAAGATTTGCCGATAGTTGTAACTAAAGAGCCTGAATTTATAAAGAGACGACATCTTATCCATTTCAACGGCGCCGGTGGTTTAGTGATAAGCGTGATTACCTCTCACCCCAGCAGGCCTGGGTTCAATCCCAGTCGGCGCCGCCGGGATGTTCTTGAGGCATAACATCTCTGATCACGCCTTTCTTCGGATGGGAAGTAAAGCCGTTGGTCCCCGGTTCATGAGTTGATGGGTCGATAGGTAGGGTCCAGGTGTGGGAGCTGCCTTCCTGGCACGTCGGTAGCATTGGTGCTCAGCACGGAAAACAAGATCGACGGAAAAAACAAACCAAAGGATAAAAAAAATCTTATCCATTTGACGGGTCTTCTGCTCGATTGGAATGACTTTTCGTATGACTTTGCCAGATAGTCGATTGTTCCAATTTTGATATGTCGTCTCTTTATAAATTCAGGCTCTTTAGTTGTAACCCGCTTCAGAACATACCCTGTCGCATTTAAGGCGGATGCGGAAAAAATGTACCGGCAGGTCAAGGTGCGCAAGGAAGATATCGATTACCAACGTATTGTGTG